GGAGCCACGCGCGAGGGCGTGCGTGCGCGTGCGCGTCGGCGGCCGGCGGCAACGCCGAGTGCCGGGAAGGGTGACCGCGCCCAGACACAGAAACCAGCGGTAACGTGCCATGCACGATTTTTAAAGCGTTCCAAAAATCAAACTTCGATGATTCAAATGCCAAACCAGTTTTTCTACACTCAAGAGTGTATGTGAAACTATTGAAACAAGCCCTAATACCCACTGTTACTTAACTCAAATCTCCTACAAAAATTGTCGAACTTAGCTTTGTCGAACCATTTTCCTAACTTAAGAAAATTGACTAAGGTTTTGCTCGGATTCGCGTCTACTTCGATTCCCAAGCTACCAACCATGCTAGCTAGGGAATTCATTTCTCGATCGCAAGTATTTCACCGCCACCTACGAAGTTTGTACTACAAACTTTATTAAAGTTTCGTATATGCGTTCTATAGCATTCTCGTTCAATAAAAATTCATTTAGAACCCTAAATGACATAACGCGACATGAAATATAACATTCGTTTCGCGTTTCCGTTGAACATTTCGAGTCACAGAAATTGATTCACACATTATATTTCATACACTATCACATAAACATGATGCACATGCAGTGTTTTATCAGAAGACTGTACAGTGTAACACCGAGGGTGTTACAAGATCAAAGCGCTAAAAGAGTGGTTTAACTACCCAAAGCACATTGCAAAGCACTACGTTAATCACCTAGTATTCCTTAAGTATTTTTGTAGGCTAGAGCACTAGAGATGAGCCTCATCTCATGAACAATTCTCAGCTCTTGACACTGTTGTCACCCAAGCTTAGGCTTGAGATGAATGTCTTTAGGTGCACCACCAGACAAATCCGGTGGTCTTCAAAACAATATGCAGAAACTCTTCACACTGTTGTCACCCAAGCCTAAGCTTCTGTGCTCAGCAATAGTATACCGCCGCAGAATTTTGGTGTATACAGACGAGCAGGGTATTGCATGAACCCAAGCTCTGGTGCTATGCCGGGGATACCACCCAAAAAAATCTGGTGCTCTCTGCACAGCAATGTTTTTCCTCATTTCTTCGCGTCTTCTCATTTGAGTTTCTTCTTCTTGATGCCTTGAACTGCATGCAAGTCTTCTAGGGTCTTCACAGAAGCTCCTTGTCCTTCCTTAAGGTGTCAACCACTTGATCTTCACGTTTTTGCCTTTGTCCAAGCCATCATTGCATCCATTGAACTAAACACCTTATATACTAGTAACCAACATTAGTCCAAATGATCATGTTGTCGTACAATCACCGAAATCACATATGGCCCTAGCTAGGTGCTATTTTTCTTACAAAGACCACTCCTAACACTCTATGGGAAAACATAACAACGCTTGCGGAAAATATTTTATGGACCACGGGCAAGTTATTAGTTGCCAGATTGGCCAAGTGAGAAGGAAAGTTTTGTATGCTGCATGATCGAGGAAAAGAAAACACACGTGTACAATGGCGGAGCCTGAAGCTAAACTTACAGGAGCCGAGGGGGGGACGGGCAATTTGCCAAATGAAATGTCCTCTCTCTCCTCTCTCTCTCTCTCTCAATAGGATAACATCACAGACACCTCCATGTTTCTCTTCTCTTCCACGGCCAACTTCGTTCTCTCTGTATGCTTTTTCTCTCCTCTTCATTCTCTTTCTCCTCAAGCCAACAATTGCAAGGCGTCTCCATGCTGAACTGCTCTGGCCTTCACATAAATCTCAGTGGCAAGGGGGGAGGGGGCAGGGCCTACTATGGCCCCAACGTGGCCTTGCCGCTGCACGAGTTAAATTGACCTGGAAAGTCGATTTGATTCCTTATATTTCAAAGATAGGGAGAGTAATCCACATGCATACCTAGAATGAATTGGACTTTTTTAAATATGGAGGTGGTAATAAGTTGGGAATCAAAGGCAGCAAAAAGTAAGGAGAGGTGCAGTGATTGAATATACGAGAATCGTTGAGGACGTACCAAACGCAAGTTGTACTTGCACTGCTGAAATCTTCGAATGAATTAATTAATCAATCATCCCAGATGCCGATCCGCTCTGTACCTGGTCGTACAATACCCCAGAGGCCAGGACATCTCAGGACGGGACGACGATCGATCTCAACGACAAAAGGTTTCATTCAGCACACGGATATCCGGCCGCACCGCACCGCACACCGTAACGCACGTAGCTTTCGTGGCTTCCACGACCGGACGACCTCGCTCGTCGATGGCCTTTTGTCGCGCTCGCTTTGAAAAATGGATTGGGAGGCGACCGAGACTTGTTCCATTCCATGGCCGACGATGTTGCGTGTCGCTGTCCATGTACGAATCGGTACCATCTGAGGACGGCACATCTGACGCGCCGATCCGAATGGTGGATGAACGGAAGAGATCTCTTCTGTGGATTTGATTTGATTTGATTATATGTACTGTATGTACAGGTGCAGGGACTGATGATGTCCTTTTGGAACCGTAAAGGACTTACAGCAACAATTCCACGCTACTCCTAGACAGCTACAGATAGCTGCTTTGCTTTGTTTGTGTGGATATTATATACTGGATAGGGAGATGAGCTGTCGTTATTAGGAGGCTGCTGTGCTGAAACTGACAGCAGGGTATACTCCTGCTAGCTGAAACTGACATCGTCATGATAAGCCGATCGAACGGGACGGTACGGAAAAAAGATTGTGGGAACTTCATGCGTAGTATAGTTTCCTGCGCGGAGAACAGCGAGTTCCGCTTGCTGCAATGCTGCTGGTACCAGATATAGTGCTGCCACTGTGTACATGGGTGAAAATGGTACGGATGTTCCGAATCCGTTTAAAGGAGATTAAATCTGTCCGTATCTGAGTCCGGATATTCAACATTCGATACCGTATCCGTTTCCGAATACTCAAATCGTATATTTATGATATCGATATCCAATCGTATCATATCCAGCATGGTTGACGCTATCCGTATTCGAGTCTAAATTCGAACAGAAATATGAAAACAAATGTAATATCAATAATATTCGATCGCATCCTATCTGTTTTCATCCTAACTGTATATAGATAGTGCTGCTTCTGTATGTATAGCTTGTAGGAACTGCTGCATGAGCATGACTGATCCACATCCACGGAGCTTCCGTAGTGACACTCTATAGTAGTAGTCTAGTACCAAGTTGCGTGTTGTGGGCCGGCAAATGGGTGGCCATGGCGACCATGCATGCCCTTCACAGCTTTGCTAGTGACTGTGTTCTTTTTGGATTCTTGTTGCTTCAAATGGAATCTTTGCAAGCACATACTAGTGTTTCGTATGTTTTAACTTTATGCCAGCTAGCTGGGTTAAAAGTAAAATTCCAGTGTTCCATAATAACATGCCGGGTTTCGCTTACATATATGTGTTGGCAATGCAAGATATTAGAAATTTGTGGAAGAATTGCATGCGCGGCCGTATTTTTAATTATTTTTGTTACAGATACATATATTACCACATGTATAAAGTCTAATGATGAAGCTGTCATTTCAATGTAAATTGTAAAAGTGCAACACATCAAAGCAGTGCGCGTACACTTTAATTTAATTTATTTCATTTCTTTCCGGTCACATATATATACATGGACAGCATGTCCGGATCAGAAAGCAAAATCTCATTTGAATTAGGTTCCGTAGGATATTGAACTTCCATCTCTAAAAAGTGGAATCGTCAAATTAATCATCCTATCCTTTCCTCCGTCTGATTCTTAATTACCAGTCATATCTTTTTTACTGCCTTTGATCACCATCAGTAATCTGAATATCTAATGCAGATGCATATGCATCCAATAATTTAGATCACTGTAAGAGATGTCTGTGACAACTGATAGCCGCGATTGATGCAGATACGGATGCATACACTCATGTTAACAAGGTTGGTAATTCATCTTACTAGGTATGTATACTCCAAAGCCATATAGAGTACATCACAAGCACTGGCTGCAGAATATGTTCGCCCAGTCCCAGCCAGTTTCGCCAACATCGACCACGTGCATGAAATTGTAAACATACTATAGCAATAGCAAAAATAAAAATTCAGCCACCACATTTGTTCTGAATAATAATAGCCAATAACTAAACTATGCAATGGCTCATTATAGTATCATGTATCTACTGTGAATATTGGTGACATGATAATGATGTCAAATACCTCGGCATTATATTTGTATATTATATTATACACGCGCGCGCATGCACGAAGTGAGAGAGAGAGAGAGAGAGAGAGCGAACTAATGGTAGCTCAATTTCATAGGTTTCTTGTAACAGAATATGTCTCCACATAGATTCGAGGTCCTCGACTTATCGTAGTTACTCATATTTTTTTAAAAAATATTTATTTTAAAATTTGATAGCGCCATTGCTCATAGGGGTAGGATGTGTACGTGCTTTCAAAGGTGAGTATGTATCCATATATATAAGAGTGTCTGTGGCTATATTGTGTGATTCCCAAGAAAAAATAAGTGATGATAGATAGTGAAGAAGAGATGAGATGATTCATCTTCCTCCAAAATCTAAACAATTTTGAATATATGAACTAACCTAATTACAGCCTGTAATTATGTCTTCCACATGCATATATAGAAATCAACATACTTGTGCCTCATCACAAAATCAAATAATCATAGCATCTCACATACATATAGAAGAAGACTCCTGTCGAGATATTTATATGACTCGATATATATACCTAATCCCAAGACCATGCAAAAATATACCGTAATAATCCCTGACAATTAAGAAACGTAACACTACAGGACGGAGGAACCGACGATCGTCGTCTCACCTTACCTGTGCTTTTAATTTCCAGCTGGTGGTCGGTCACCTGGAACATGCACACACTCATGACTCATCACTCATCAGCATATGCTGCTATAGAGAGAGTGCAGACAAGGACACCAACGCCGAAAGATGCCTGCCACCATCACCATCCGCCGTTTACGTGCTCCACCTGCTTGCCTGGCAGAGCAAAGCAGGTCGGAGCGCCTCACACGGGACAATCCGCGCGGACGCCGCCATCATCGTCCTTGCCGTCCCTGGACTCATCGGCGGCCGCCACGACGCTGGCGCGGCAAAGCGGGCACGTGGCGTGGAGCCGCAGCCACGCGCCCACGCAGTCGGCGTGGAACCGGTGCCCGCAGCGCGGGAGGAGGCGCGCCGAGTCGCCGTCGCGGAGCTCCACGATGCACACCGCGCACTCGGGGGCCTTCCCAATCCCACCTTCGCCGGCGCCGGCGCCGGCACTACTGGAGTACACGTACACGGGCAGCGCCGACGCCACGTCGTCCACCGGCTGCGGGCCGTGGTCCTTGCTGCTGCGCCGCGGGCGGGACGCCCACGCCCACGGGGAGGCCACGGGCAGCGACGCGGATGACGACGCGTCGTCGTCGTCGTCGCCGTCGTGGGCGCCGGATGATGCGGACGGTCCCCGTTTCCCGGGGAAGTACCGCCAGAAGAAGAAGAAGATGAGGAGGATCATGAGCACGTTGATGCCGACGACGCAGGCCGTCAGCACCGGCCCGTGCGGAGCCCAGTGGCTGCTCGTGTCCTCCACCGCCGCCGCCGACGCCGCGGCCGGCGGGCTAAGGCTGCCGCTCCCGACCTTGGACGACATGGCTTCTGCGCCGACGAGATGGAGATGCTGGTGTTGCACAACCCAAACAGAAGAGAGTGGCTGCCAATGCTGTGCATAAACCACCAAACGTAAAAACCGATTTAAGAAACTGTCAACGCGTCTACGCAATAATTAAGAAGATGATCAAGTTTGCAAATCGAATCGGAAAGAAAAAGATCACATAGATCGATCTCTAAGAAAGGAAAATAATCGCAAATAAACGAGATATGAATAAAGATGAGCAACGGGCCAGTACGGCCCGGCACGGCCCGAGCCCGGGCCCGGGCCAAGCACGGCCCGATCAGGCTCGGGCCTTTTTTGGCCCGTCGGGCCACCGGGCCGTGCCTGAACAGTCCACCGTGCCTGGTGGACGGCCCAGGCACGGTCCGTGGGCCGAATATCAGGCCGTGCCAGCCCATTGAGCCCGTGGCCCACTGGTCCATTGGGCCAGCCCATAGCCCGTTACACAGTAAACACCATATTTCAAACAGCACAATCACAGGTTCAAACTTCAAACAATCACAGGTTCACATATTCATATTAACAATTACAGAAACACCAGATGACAAAAGATTTGAGTTGTTTGTGCAATGCCGCCTCATTAAAAACCTTTCTAGGTAAAACCCACACCTCGTGAGATAAAACCCTAGAAAGAAAAAGAGTACGGCCAGCTCAATAAATTAAAATGTTCAAATTGTTCAAAGTTATTACAAACCAGCTAGCTCAAATGTCTCAACTCTCACAACTAAAGTCGCACTCATAGCCTCTCAGGCTCTCAGCTCTCAGCAGTCAACCATCACCAGCAGTAGATGATCCACCAACTCCATCATCAAGGTACTGCTCTTTGAAGTACTCTTCTAGCTCTTTGTCCTCCACAGTGTGCTGTCCACCGGATTCACCTAGCTCCCAGTCTTTGACACAGATTAGCATCTCCACGCTGTCCGCGCCCAATCGCCGTCGGCGCTCCTCAATGATCCTGCTAGTAAGACTAAAGGTAGACTCTGAAGAAGTAGTTGATACAAGAACAGTCATAATATCTTTAGCCAAGGTACAGAGAACTGGATAGGTTAGTTTATGCTCATGCCACCAATTGAGGATATCAAAGTCGTCATCATATGCCACAACACTGTCACTGTCAAGGTAAACAGTGAGCTCAGAGAGACCAGGAGGCACAATAGATCCTGCAGATGCACTTGAAGGACCAGAAGAAACTGATCCTCCAAAAATTTTACCCCATGCCTGCTTTCTCTTACCTGTCAGTCCAGATGGATGGGTGGTTCTAGCTGGCCTAGCAGCAACAAACTTAGATTCATACTTGTCATAGAGTTTATGCAACTCAGATTTAACCTCAGCAAAGTAATCAATGTAACTCATATTGTTACTTAGAGCAAGCAAGTCAAGCACATTTCCCAGACCTTTGAACTTAGCCCTTGGGTCCAGAATAAATGCAAAAGAGTATAACAGTGGTATATTCTTCCAATACTTAAGAAATTTATTCTTCATTGGCACAACTACAGTAGCAAGAGTATTATCATGTTCAAATTCATGCAGATGGGATGCAATCTCAAGTATGTGATGCAGTACCAAAGGACTAGTGGGGTAATAAACACCAGAAAGTACAACAGTTGAATCATAGAACAACTCAAGGAACTGCAATACCTTGTCAGCAATGTACCAATGCTGTTCATTCAATAGAGGATAGCCAGACTGAGAATTGATGAACACAGAAAACACAGATCTATATGGCATGAGATGTTTTAGCATAAGGTAGGTTGAGTTCCATCTAACATCCATATCCAAAGCAAATTTACGAGGCCTCATACCCTTAGCAATGCAGTAGTTTTTGAATTGTGCAATGCGATGATTAGATGAATTCAGAAAGTTAATTGCAGTCCTAAAAACCTCTATGTGTGGTTTAAGCCTTTTCAAACCAGATTTAACAATCAAATTAATTATGTGGCAAGCACATCTCTGATGCACAACATGATAGATCTTTTTACTAGAATTCAATGGATCAATATCATAACCCAAGTAACCAGCAAGCAGAGGACTCAAAGTAAGCATAGCAGATGTATTAGCAGATGCATTATCAAGGCTAACAGAGAAAACTTTATCAAGTAGGCCCCAATCTCCAAGCACACCAGCAATAATTTCAGCAATGTTAATACCACTATGAGTCACTTCAATCAATTTAAAGCCAATAACAACTTTCTTAAGTTCCCACTCAGAAGTAATGTAGTGAGCAACAACAGTGACATAATCTTCCTTAGCATTGCTGCACTGTGATATCGATGTCAAACAAAATGTAAACACACCGTGCATTACTTCATTTTTAGGTGATGCGTTTTTCATTGAAAAGCTTAGAAAGATCTCTAGATGTGGTGAATGACACTCTCTTGTATCTAGGATTGTGAGCACGCTGAATGTAATCATCCCAAGCATCATTGTCAGCAATAGATAAAGGCAGATCTAATCTAGCAATCAAACGGCAAAGCTCACTCTAGCAACATCGAGGCCTATATTCCCGGTTCCTATAAGACCCATCAGATTCAAAGCAAGCCTAGTTTGAACCAAATTAGCTCGTTTCGCTTTTCTTCTTGCATGAGAGCATATGTCTTTTCAAATGACCCAGTGCCATTAGCAGATTTACCGAGACAAACGAGACTTACAGAGCTTACAAATAGCAACAACACGCACCTCACCGCCCATCGTATCTATGATTTCATCAAAGTTAGCCTGCACGGGGGATCGGGCGCTTACTAGTGGTGGACGAAGCCAGAGATGTTGTATCGCTGGTGGCCGCAGCAATAGCCGCTGCATCGTCTCGGTTGGTCGGAGCAGCACTCCTACCGAACAAGAGATGAGCAGCATCTCCCATGTCGTCTTCGTCATCGGGGATCTACCCTGTGGCCCTGAGCTCGTCGTTGATGGTTGGACCATCGTCACCATCGGCCGGACTCAGAGCCGGGCCATGGCAGATGGCACCCACCAACCCACCGCACCGTCCCTCAACGTCTCCTGCGGCACCAGCAACACCTACACACCGGTGACCTACGAACCAAAAACACCGAGAAATGGATTAGGGTTCGTGTGATTGCCTACTAGATCTAGCGTTAGGGTTAGGGTTAGAGGTACTTGCCTGCATGGAGACGGAGCCCGGCGCCGAAGAAATGGAAAAGAAGACGAAGACGAGACGGAGAAGAGGGGGGAGACAAAAGGAGATCCCAAGATCCAGTCAGAGAGGTAGGGAGGAAGAAGTGAGACGAGGAGGGGGGAGAGATCAGAGAAGAGGAGATCTCAACATCCCGCGTCAGAAGCGGTAGCTGGGAGGTGGTCGACGGTGGGATGGGCGGGTGCACCGACCACCGTAGAGGCGAGGCGAGGTGGGGATTAGGGTTAGGGTTTGAGAGCTCGAGGCGAGGGGCGGGGAAACGAACGGTCAGGCAAGCGCGGGTGAGTGAGGGGAATAGCCGAAGGTGGGGTCCGCTTTGGGCATGCTGGGGGCGATATAGCCCCTCCATTGCCGGGTTTCTACTGGCCGGCCATTGTAAACAGTTGCGTGTGGTGCGTGCCACCCGGCGGGCCGAGGCCTCAGCCCAAGCCCGGCCTGCTACGGGCTTTGGGCCGGCACGGGCCCGGTTAGTGTTCGGGCCATGCCGTTCTCGGGTCGGGCCCCATAACCGTGCTTTGGGCCGGGCCTTTGGCCCACGGGCTGCATGCACATATTTAGATATGAAGGAGAGAGGAAAAGGCAGCAAATGAGGAAGGAGGAAGGTGGCGTGGAGGAAAGTGGAAGAGAGGTTTATAGAAGGTAGAAGCGGGGGAGGTGGTAGCGTTTGGCTCTTTTGGCCTCTTGGGGTGTGGAATGGCGCTGAGCTGGTTAATTAAAGGCCAAAATGGTTTAACTGGGGTGTAATTCCCACGTATGGATCCCTACCCTTGATTGACGAGAATGTTTTATGAAACCATATTTATACGTATGCGTCCTGTTTTTCAGCACTACTTCAACAGTACTTTTCAGCGAAGCAGTGTTTTTTTCTCACAAGAAATCAGCATCAGCCAAATTTCAACGAAACGAACAGGGTTGATAGATTTGTTGACCGATCAATTCCTTGAGAATGTCATGTATGGTCTATCAAAGGTAGAGGGTGGACCCTGGGTCCATTTGTAACGTCCCAACAAGGTTGGCCAGCTCTTCATGCTCGATGCACCACGCCATGACTGTGAATGAATGGTACTAAGGGTGGGACTCATTTTTCCCCTAGCATAATGAGCTAGGTGCTAATTAAAATTATCTGATTGATGTCATACAAAATATGGAATTTCAATAGGAAGATGATAAAAAATATTACTGAATAGAAAACGTACGTGGACGGCCTTCCTGCAGAAATGGAAATGTTTTCTGAATAAGATTTTTTTTTCGGGAGTGTGCTTAGCACGTTTTTCGTTAAGGAGTTAGAAAGTTTGAATACACTCCCAACACCGTTAGTTGGCGAGATGCCGCCTAACGATGGGGTAAACACACGACACAAAGCACCGTGAAGACGGTGGGGTGACTTAGGTGTACTAACTAAGAAAACTAATTTGCGATCGAAGCAGGCAAAGCTGTAACGGCGCTAGGGAGCCCTCCTGCGGAGCAACGACTGAATGTGAAATATATTGCGTCTCTAATGAGAAGACGACACACTGAGCATAAAACATGAGGACCCACAAGAAAAATAAATCAGCAAATTATCCCTTAATAAATAATTCCTCTCCTCCAATTATAAGATGCACATATATAAAAAATTCATTCTCTTTAACTTTTCACCTATAACTATTTTTAACAACTGTAATATAAACTTGATACAAAATTCGTGACGTATAGTATAATCACCCATTTATAATCATAAATATACACATGTGCTATTCTACAACCTAGATGTAGACACCTAGATACAAAACTTTAGTAGTAACTACTGAGAATGCGATTACTGAACACAACGGAACATGTAATGGTC